CCATTAAAACGCTCTTCGAAGAAAACTTCGGCGGAGACAATAGCCACAAGAAGAAAGAGCTGAATGGCCAGAGGGAGAAGTCTAGGGTTTAGCATTCTCAGAGCAGCCATTGTTGTATCACGCTGATACTCTGAACGAGTGATAAACCGTGAGCCTATTTATCTCGGTAAAAATGCCGAAATGCTTCTTCGGTTGGTACGTTACACTCAGTGATGAAAATCGAGCGCAGCTTAGATGAGGTGCGCCAATAAGTTCGTGACACGTGGTATTACGGGTCACTCATTTGACGTGGCTTATTGAGATTGGTTATAACACGACTTGTGCGCATGATAGCGAATGGGGGAAAATTAGTGATTTTCCCCTTCTTGTTTGGCTTAGCTAATCCATCTAATTAAGGGAAAATTGTGTGGGTAACAAGCTGACCAAACACAACCTATTCGACTGATCGAGTCAATTGACTCAATTCACTTGTAAAAAAGTCTAATATCAATATTGTACATAGATTAACGTATGAATTTATCATTTGTATAAATACGTGTAAAAATGGTAAATTATACTATGAGATCATAGTTCTTTTCTTCTCCCAGCACTATTGGCAATTTCTTTCTTTTTCCTTCAATTTTGTAATTTCTCCTTCTTTGTTTTTTTTCTCCAATTCTTTTATCTTTCATCATAATACTAAAAATTTAATTGTGTTTTTATTTTTCTGTATCTTTAACGAATTAAATTATAATTGAATTTACCTTTTTCCTTTACCAATTCATTACAAAATTTTATTAACTCACGTAAAACAAGTATGTTGTATTTCATATTGATATACTCCCTTCGTTCTTAATATCTTTGTCAAGTTTGACCGACACGGAGATTAATAAAATAAAAATTGTGTGGTTGAGGATTGTGCAGAAGAGAGAAAATTAACTGGAACCACAAATTCTTTACTTAAAAAGTAAAGTGGCAAAGTTAGTGGGACAAACAAAAAAGAAAGTTGGCAAAGTTATAAGGGACGGAGGGAGTAGTATTTCTTTATGTAACTGTTTTTATATTCATACATTTTTTCTATAATAGATAGTACTCCGTGTATTTTTATATTCATAAACTTTTCATTCAATATATTTTATCTCTTTTTTATACTTGTATATGTTTTGTACTCATATTTCAAGACATTGAGTTTGTTTTATTTCGATTTAGATTCTATAATAGATGAGATTAATTAAATTTTCATGTGTGATTTACATTGTTCATATGTGTGAGTTACATTTATACATGATTCCTCGAGTTACATTTAATAATACTAAAAGTTACATCTTCTTATACACGATTTACATCTTCATATAATGAGTTACATCTTTTTATGCGCGAGTTACATTTTCATGTGTGTGAGTCACATTTTTCATATGAGTGGGTTACATTTGTACTTGCTCGAGCAAGTTACATCTTGCATACACACGAATTACATTTTGACTTGTCTGAAGTTACATGTTTCATACACACGATTTACATTTCATATATGAAAAGGTAAAATAATCACTAGAGTGAGTGAAGCGGGTTACAGTTCAGTGAACGAATTATATTTGTCGCTAACTGAGTTTACATATCGAAAGGGGAGTGGTCACCACGGAAAAAAGGGTTTGCGGTTGGGCGTGTGTTCTTTGTGCATCTCGGAGCATCTCAGAAATACTACTTAAGAGTTCTATTGAATGTAGTAAAAGGGGCAAGATGTTATGAAGAGTTGTGAACCGTGGATGGAAAGATATATGACACATTTAGGGATGCCTGTTATGCTCGCAGGTTACAAGGAGATGACAAGGAGTACATAGATGGCATTAAAGAGTCAAGTCATTCAGCAATGGCGCGATGGTTGCGACATTTATTTGTTACTCTTTTACTGCGAAGATTGATGACTAAGCATGAGTCAGTGTGGGAAAAGTGTTAGTTGGGAGTATTTTTCAGAAGACATATTATACAATATGAGAAAGAAACTTCATGATCAAGGTGCATGTTTATATTAGTCATAATATTTTAATGTTCTTCCGTGGTTAAAGATTATTTCTACTTCATATTCTTGGACTCATACACTACATTGAATGCATGTGTCATCTATTCTAAAGAGTTGGAACTAGACAAAGAAGAAATTCAGAAGTGCTCTTAAGAGGACTCAACGTGCAACATAAAACACGGTGGTCCGTTGGCTAGGCTTCTTGAACATACAAGACTAATTATTTGGGATGAGTTTCCAATGATGCATAAGCACTATTTTGAAGCTCTTTAACGCACTGTGAGAGATGTCCTTCGCTTCTCGCCAGAGTGTGATGTTGTTATGCCTTTCGTTGGAAAAGCTATTGTATTTGGTGGGGACTTCCGACAGATATTGTCGGTCATTCCAAAAGGCATGAGACAAGATATTGTCCAAACGTCTTTAAATTCATCATATTTGTGGTCATATTGTAGGGTGTTAAAACTCACAAGGAACATGAGGCTTGCACACGTGATTGTATCATCCAGCGCAGCTGATATAGAGCGCTTTGCAGATTGGATTTTGAAGATGAGCGATGGTATTTTGGGAGACAATGAGGTTGGGGAATCAAAAGTCCACATACCTGCCGAATTTCTTGCTCCGACGATAGATGATCCCATTGAGTCTGTTGTTCACATTACATATCCAGATTTCTGGACTATCTTCTAGACCGGTCACTGAACGACCGATGTAGAAAGAGTTTCCACATCGGTTCATTGACTGATGTGAAAAGTCTCTACTTTTCACATGGGCTGGAACCACGTCGGCTGTTTGACCGATGTGAAAAGTCTTTTTGACCGATGTGAAAAGCTTTTTTTGTACTAGTGGGAAGACATTTCATATCTGAACTCTAGGGCCATTCTTGCACCTACGATTGATGAGCAAGACAAGATCAATGATTACATGTTGGGGCTCATTCCAGGCGAGGAAAGGACATACTTAAGCTGCGATTCAGCATCTTCCTCTGACTCAGATAGCGAGCTCCTTCAAGACATTCATTCTCCGGAATTTCTTAATAGCATCGAATGTTCTGGTGTGCCAAGCCATGAAGTGAAGCTTAAGGTGGATGTGCCTGTGATGCTTATGAGAAACATAGATCACACAGTTGGGTTATGCAATGGTACGAGACTCATGATAACTAAACTCGGGACTCATATTATTGAGACTCAGATGATGTCAGGATCAAATGATGGTGAAAAGTGTCTTATTCCCCGACTTAGTTTAACGCCTACGGACATGAAGCTCCCTTTCACGTTTCAGCGCAGACAATTTCCTCTTATGGTTAATTATGCGATGACGATTAATAAGAGCCAAGGACAATCATTATAAAAGTGTTGGTATATTCTTACGGCGTCCGGTTTTTACTCACGAACAATTATACATTGCAGTATAGAGAGTTACAAGTCCATCAGGGTTAAAATTTGTCATATGTGATGATGATGGTCAACCAAGCAATATTGCTCTAAATGTTGTTTACAAAGAAGTGTATAACAATTTACAGGTTTTTTCATATGTGATTTCTTAGATGTTAAATTCTATACTTCAAATCTTTAAATTATAGTTCTATTATCATTCGAATCTTTACATTCTCGATGAAATGTTTTCCCGTGCAACGCACGGGTTAAATACTAGTATAATTAAAAAGAAAATAAAATAAAAAAAGAGGAGAAGATAAAATAAATAGGCGAAGAAGACCTGAAGACGAGAACATAGATCATCAGAAAAGGAGATGAAGCAGATTTTTTATTAAGCTAAAATGATAAGGGTGCTCAATGTCACACTTTATCCAAATATATCAAAACATACGAACATAAAAATATGGATTTGGTAGATAGCTAAACCGGAATACCACTAGCGGTATGTAGAGAGGAAAAAGAGCTACTTATGTTAGAGAGAGAAAATAATCGTATTAATTGTTCTCAAACTGTTACATATGTCCAATGGATGACTATTTATACAAGTACTAGTCATAAATGCTAAGTACATTAAATGTACATACACGTGTAAGCTAATTTATAACGGAGAGCATCGATGTGAGACAGATGCAGGCACGTGGTGGGAGCATTAAATGCTAACCCAAAAGTCCTTTTGACCGGAGCCGAGGGGGGCGAAGGGTCTTTCATGAGGGCTCACTCTCAGACGGAGATATTCTGGATCGAGTATGTAGGATGGTCTTCTTGTGAGATGTCATGGTCCACAACCCTCAGGCTTGTATCCGAGGAGTATTCGGATGTTTTTCTAGCCTATTGAGGTAGTTGAACATGTTGCAATGGCAAGGGTTGGACATGTTGTAGTGGCAGGGGTATGTGGACCATGAGTCCTGGATCATATATTCCATTAGGAATAATTTGATTTAGAAAAGCACATTAGGCTCATAATACAAAAGTTGCACACTATGATTCTAATGCATTTTCTATCTATAGGATAGCACACTAAAGAAGAAAAAGATAGCGCTCAACTGGATTTCCTTTTTAGTGACTAATCAAATTGATGATCCAGACAATTTCTGCTCAATTGAGTCTCCTTAGTAGATTGCTGATCAAACCAATTCTCCATTTCAGGTGACTGATGAAATCAGAACTTTTAGTTGTAATTTTTTATTCTCTCTTTGGAGTTTGGATTAGCAAGAATTCATTGAATCTTTTCCATTCTACATGGAGTACCAATTTTCCATCTATGTTTTATCCCATTGTAACCTTAGACTATCATTCTCTTGTGTCTTTGTTATCTTTTATTACTCCATCCATGATCCATCCCTTATAACTTTGCCAACTTTCCTTTTTTTGATTGTCCCAAAAACTTTATCACCTTCCCTTTTAATCAATCAATTTGTGGCTCCTGTTATTTCTCTCTCCTCTGCACAAATCTTTACCACACAATTTTTACTTTATTATTCTACGTGCCGCTCAAACTTGGCAATCCTTTTAGAGACAGAAGGAGTAATAAATTAGTTATTTGATTTTAAAAAACCACAAACATTTGTACGGTTGATTTATTTGTACTGTTGGTCAGACGAAGTGGGTTTCGATAATTCGATGTGGTAGTAGTGTGGTACCTGGGGGCTGGGTATACTCATTGTAATTGTACATAAAAATGATAAAATTCGACTCCTTAATATAATCTTTGGCAATTTAAAACTGCATTAAGATAAAATGCAGCACCAAATCTTCCAATAAACATAATATAGAAAAAATGGAAGTAGTTATGATATTAATCCTGCAAGTGCAGGTATGCAGCTGGCGCAGCTGGCCTTGATTATTTTGGCACCTATTTTAACCAAAAATATAGACTAGACGAAATGCCAGGGATTGGGCTGCTTTAGGGGTGTGCAAATATATCAGCCTCGCATGGTTCAGAATTGACTTAACATAGTCCTGAATCAGCTCGATGTGAGCTCAGTCCTCGAACCATTTTTCCTCTGAAAATAAGGTGTGTTATAGTAAACTGTCTTTGCGTATATGGACCTTAATTTGGTTAGATTTAAAACTTGACATTTCTGTTCCGCTCATTGCCTGCAATAATAGCACATAAGTCAACTGAATTAAAGAATCCCAATCAGTAAATAAAACTTGTCATGTACTCATGTAGCCTATACTTTGAGGGTCTGTCATGCAACTAGAAGTGTCGTAAAGAATACAGAGCAAGTACAAAGATTACATCCTACGGTAATAATCTGATTCTTGAGTGAAATCTTAAACTGTTAAACATGTTTCTATGACCAGAACTCCAGAAGCCATTATATTTGGACTGTGGTGTTTCCTTTACCTGAGGCAGAGCTTTGCGGTTTTCACTTTCCAGATTCTTTTTAAGATCTCATTTTGTCATTGATGGACAGGAAACTCCAAAATTGTTTGTTATGGCACTTCTGTTTTCTTCAATAAATAGGTATGGTTTGGCATTGGTATGATAGTTTGCATAGTCTTGTTTTGAAATGGTACAATACCAGCTAGTTCTAGGACTAAACCAAACTATACCAAACCATTTGAATTATCATGATTCAATACCCCTTTCAGGAAGATGATACCATACTACCCCACACCATGCCCAAGCACCTGACCCTGCCCTATCTTGAAGGCAAAATTTATAACAATGAAAACTAGAAACATATGTACACAAACATATATTCCTGAAATTTAGTATACCACAGCAATCAGTATGACTGGTTTACCCATAATGGCAGAGGTGCCCTAAGCAAAACAGGTTGCCCAGAAACAGGATGTGTGAATGACAATGTTTCGGCATGAAGTTCATGGCCAGTATATGTATGACCCTTCCACTCATACACTCCTTCATATTTTACGTCTCCTCTAATCGGAATCCCGAGATACTGACAGTGCAAGCGTATTTGATGGGTTCTTCCACTCCGAGGGTATGCCCGAATCAAAACAACATCTTTCTTCATATCCAAATCAACCATAGATTTATCTTCAACAACCACTAAGGACCCGTTCTCTCCATCTGAAAAAAAATGAACTGGCATAAGCTTCTTAAGATCTGGCCCGGTCATGATCTTTCAGGTTTATCTAAACTAAACGAATGTTTGTGGGTCTGGTTTGTATCGTTCTGATTAGGACTAGCCTGCAATTTTCTTGCCTAATTTCTTGACTGATATGAGTAATGGTAAAGAGATATTAAATGTACATTCTAGAGAAGCATCCATATGTGACAAACATGTCAAACTTTTTACCACCCAATGAATTTGATGTCTTCCTAAAATGTTTACATTTTATGCCCCTAACATTACTCGTCCAAACATATCTATCTGATTATCTGTATCTTTTGGTCAATGTTCCTGGTCTGGTTTGAATGATCAAATATGAATAAAAAGAATAAGTAATAAAAAAGTGTAAGATGATGAGAAGCACCTAACTCTCCCTCTTTTTCAGCCTCTAGGTGTCGAACCCCGTTGATAGATAGAACTTGGAAAGAGGTCTCCATGTCTTTAACGACTGATCCACCTGGCAGTGACCGGCCCACATCAGACCTGGCATAAACACGCCATGCCCCGTGTTTTGACCGCCCATGTCCTGACAGGATGACAAGTTGTCCCCATTTAGGTGCTTGTCCTACACACATACCAAGATATGTTTTCCTAACTTTATGGTCTGTAAATGCTTTAACGAGCTTAGCAGCTACTTTGTGGGACTTGGTGATTACCATTACACCACTTGTGTCCCGATCCAGTCTGTTAGCTAAATGCAGTTCAGGGTGTTTGGCACCTGAAGATAAGTAAATGTATATTTAACATCGGGGGTTATCTTCAATTCAAATATGTTCTTAGATTGAAAGCTTTACCAATAATCAACCGCATTGCTACAGACCCTCAATTCAAATCAGCAATATTAACACTATTTGTATTCTTTCTTCTCATTTACAAGGTAACCCAGTCGTACATGAACTACATCAAGCCACATATAATGACTACAAACCTAAATCATATTCTACGGTAAAAATTGCTCCTATCACCATGAAAGTCCTCAAGTCTAATCAAACAAGTCACAATGCATAGATTTAGAACCCAAAAGGATGAATTTGGCCAAATGACTGAAATTTCTGAAATTGTGGTAGTACAGAGTAATAACTTCAAAAGAAATTGCCCTAAATATGAGTAAAAACGTTTGGAATTCCAAATAGGAATAACTACTATGTTTTATTCCCTAAATAGGAGTAATTACGGCCATGTTTTGGCATTGGCAGACTTTAAATATGGCATTATTATCCAAACTTGGTAGCAATTACTCTCATTCAAGGAATAAAAAATATAGTAATCCTATTGTGGGATTTCAAAACCTCTTTACTCTTATTTAAAAAAAAATCCCTAGCTAAAATTATTGAAATGTACACTGTACATAGTATGTTTTTATAAACTTATAACCATAATGCTGGAAATCATTATAGAAGTCCCCTTTCAATTATTTTAGCAACTTCAGCAAATAAAAACATTCTTTACTACCTTTTTCTTCACCAATCAATTCAATCTAAACTCTAAAAACAAATAAGTTAGATTTTTTACTGAATAAATAATGAAATGTAAGGAGATGTTCTTTTGGACTGAACTTTAAAGTTCCGGTTTGATTTTATCTGGTTATAATTGTAATAAAATATGCAGCAAGCCTGGTATAGTTCAGTAATGGTCCAATACATCGGACTGAAAAAAGTTCTACTAGATAACACGTCTAAGTTAGTTACATGTTAGTTTTGGGTATTAAAAAAAACAGTCACCTGAGTGGAACTCAATCTCCAACTCAATCAGTCATTTCAATGAGTCTGCCGAAGCAGATTAAGCAACTCTACATCGACTATTACGTATGGAGGAGTAAAAGACTAAAAGAGATTGATCTTATCATAGCGAGAAACTCACTGAGTTCGTTATCCGAGCAGCTTATTAGAAGATTCAAGACAGCGGACAGTACGCTTTCGCAATAGATTCCTCGAGGCTTGTTGACTGCGACGAGCCACTCGTCTTCGAAGATGACGTCGTTCCTAGATAGAGAAAACGACGCTGATCTAGAGGATGCCGTCAAGGCCCTGTTTAACTCTATATCCTTGGATAATGAAGGAAGAGGCGGAGACAGTGGCACTGGGTAATCACCGAGCTCGTTCACAGGTTGGCTTGCCATCGAGGTATGGGCAAAATGGCGATGGAGTCTCAGGGTTAATGCCGAAGACGGAAGACGGAGGAGAATGGGCAGGCCGGTCATTTCATGTTTATGGTGCGAAAGGACCAGTCTGTTTGGCTATGTAGGGGCACAAGTGGTACACTTAAAATGTCGGTCACATACAATTGGTACGGAACTGCATGTGGGCACAGATAAAATTTATCCGTGTACACAAACAACTTTTGTCTGTGTACATAAACATTTATTTTTTCTAAAAAATAGATTGACAGCCGTCTGACGCTGACACCAACGTGCAAATCAATCATTGTATGTGCAGTGTCTGTGTGCACAGACAATATTTTCATGTTGCACAGACAACTATTTGTCTGTGTGCACAGACAATAATTACCACACAGATAATAGTTGTGCGGTTCACAGACAATAGTTGTCTGTGTGAGTGATTAACTTTGGTTGTCGGTGTGATCAATTTTAATTGTCTGGATGAACAAAAAATAATAATTATCTATATACATCCAAATGAATAATGTAGTTGTATGTGTAATCAATTTACACGTAATCTGAAAAAAATTAGAAAAATAATAAAAACATATGAAATAAGATGAATAAGCTGATTTTGTGCAAATAATGGAAAAAAATTGATATAAAAAGGTAAAGAAGAAAAGGATGAAGAAGGAAAGAGGAGGATAAAGAAGATAAAGAGGAAAGAGGGAAGGGAGAGAGGAGGGAGAGAGAACAGAGAGAGAAGAGGGAAGGGAAAAATGAGATTTTTTTGCTTTTATACCATGTACAACTTGTGTACATGGTGTGTACACTAAGCAAAACTCATCTTTTAGAAAAGGGCATTTCAATAAAAAATAAGGTTGTTGCATCTTCTTAGCGTTTTAAAAACTTTGTTTTGGATTAATGTTTTGAAATATGAAGTTTTTTATTAATTGTTATGACCAAACAACTAAATTATGAATCATCTTTTGACAATCTGTCAATTTATTTCGCTAGTCAAATCTGCTGACTGAATGCGTTGTTGATAACCAATTAACATAATTCCTATCGTCTAACCGTTAACCGCAAAATGCCTAAATGTCAAACACACCCCTTGTCGACGTCAAACCAATAGTTCAATACTTGATGTTTCTTTTCTGGGAAAATGGGATAGTAGGAGGGAAAATGTTTTGGAGATTCAAAATAAAATAATTACTATAATTCAAATACTTTGTGTTTTGATGTCATCATTGTGACACTCTCAATAAGGATGTCACATGTTCAAACTCATCTTTGAAATATGCGAGAAAGTGCAAAAAAATAGAATTACTATAGCATTTAAAAACGGGATTACTATATTTTTATTTCTCAAATATGAATAATAACTATCAAGCTTAGAAGATCGCAACTCCTGTAATTCTGCTTTTTGTTTTGAGGTCAAAGTTTCGACTCCATCTCAGAGCTGCGACAAGTAGCAGGTAGCGGATTCCAGGTCTTGTTCAACATCATCTCTCGTAGATTCTTGGTATGGTTATGACCCAATTAGAGTGTTCTTCTTTTCTGGTTGTGTTTGTTCTGTGCTATGTCGGTTCTTTCCCGGGCATTGGCGTTGTGGGTTGTTTTGTCTCCCTCGGTATGAGGAGTTGTTTTGGTGTCCCGGCCAACTTCGTCTAGTCAGGGGTTTCTGTCTACCTTCTTTTGGGTTGCGTAGAAAGTGGTAGAGTTTGTCCTTCTCCAGAACCACCTCCATGTCAGGAAGAGTTTTGTGGAAATATTTTAGTTCAATTTTTGTTTCCTTTAGTAGTACTTATTTTTATTTTTTCCCAAGTAGATTTGGATCGGATATTTGGATTTCTAAAGTACTTTTGATAGAAAGTGTTTCAGTTCCAATTGTTTTAGACTTAAATTTGTTTGTTTTGTGTCTAGCGAATCATGTTGCTTTTGTATGGTGTAATTGATTTTGTGTCTATTTCTAGGGCTTACGATCGGCTCTATTATAATTGTCTGAAGCTTATCTTGTATGATTTATGGATATTAATATATAAAACCGCTCTTTTATATTAAAAAAATATCAAGCTTAGAAAATACTATTACGTTCAAAATCAGGTAAAATCAAAATATATTAATTACTCTTATATAGAGAATATTACATTGTACTCCGATCCTATTTTGTAATTTACAAACATGTAACGCCTATTTAGGGTATTTCACTTCTTTCGCATGTGACCTCATAAATATTTTCGTGAATCTAGTCCTAGTTATCCTTCATCTCAATGCAACATGACTCCATATATTGTGAAAAATTATTGAGCCCATTTAGTAACACTTCTATCATCTATTTGATTATGAAAAAATTATATTTAAAATATTTTTGGGAATAAAATAAAGAAAAATGATATGAAAACATCTCAAATAGAGCCATCTTCAACAAATTTAGCTCACCCTGAAAAATAACTCTAACTTCGTTTTTATTATTTCAAAATAAAATGTATGAATTAATGTGTGTTTAGTAAAAAATAATTCACAAGGCCGATTAGTACTACGTTAAAACATGACTAATTTAATCTTAATAAAAAGCAGTTCAAACGTGATCTATTGAGGGTGAGTGAGTTGTTGTTTTTTGGTATGATAATCTTATTTGAGATAAAACATTATTTGGGAAAATTTCTCTTTATTGTGTGATGATTTTGTGTCCATGTCTATATCATTGTGGAGACTCGGTTTGATGATCGGTAAAATTAGATAATTATTGATTTGATATAATTTATAGTAGATATATATAATTATGGCATTTAAGTTTAGACTAGTTCAAAAAGTAAAGATGAGGTGATTTTGGTTGAATATTATGATCAACTGAACTATGGGATGTTGGGCATTTCAAACTTATCAACCATCCAATCATACAAAATACTCTAAGAGAGGAGTATTCCGCAATGTTAAAGATGTAAAGATGTGTTGTGGAGTTATTGTGCTTTAGTAACTTTAGTAGTTATTGATCGAGAAAATTCAACATCCAGAGTGAGATGAGTCCAAAATAATAGCCTCCACGACATACCATATTAAATGCTATAAGAACATGATCACAATTGTCTTTGGTCTTATTTGGTTATACAAGAAATATACATAGATCATGATGGGCAAAGTCTAATCGAAAGATGCTCGGATTGCTCGTTCGACCTTTGATGCATAGCCTGCTCAATCGTCCTTGTGGTAGTCGATAATCCTTTTATGTTTAGAGTTAGTTCTTGGCTAGGTTTGGCTATTGATCCGTTCGCGTCATTCCGGTCGGCATTGCCCTCCTAGTCACGGTTGACTAAACGCTCCGCTCAATATACGACCCAATAGAGGAATTGTGGAGTAATTGATCCTTCACAATTCCTTTGTTGGATTGTATACTTAGTGGGTCGGCCCGAGCACCGAACTTGTCTAAACCCAATTCGTATGGCGTATGTATAAATTAGGGGTGAACAAAAAACCGGAAAAAATGAAAACCGACCGAAACCGAATCAATCAAAACCGGAACCGACTAAAACCGATTAACCATTGGCGGTTCGGTTTACGGTTTCACCTTTAGGGTTAAAAATTGACCGACAAAAACCAACATTACCATGCTAAAGTCGACCGAAAACGATAAAACTGACAGAAATTAACAGAACCAAAACCGATTCAAGTAGTGTGGTTCGGTTTACGGTTTCACTTTTTCTAAAATTGAAACCGATATTACCGAACCGATAAAACCAAAACCGATGAAACTGAACCAACGAACACCCTACTATAGACCCATGAATAATACTCCATTCGTTCCTTAAAATTTATTTCACCATCTTTTTGGAACATCCAAACAAATGCTTCCCATTTTTCTTTTTGGAAATTTTTGTATGTTTAACATTCATTTACTTATATCTTACTTAACACAATCATAAATTTTCATTCTATTCTCACTTTGTTAAAATTTGATGCAAGTTAAACCTGAAAGAATTTAAAAGAGGTTAATTATTCAAGGGACAAGCTTTAATTTTCAAGAATGTAAGGTCTGGTAATAGCAAATCTGCCGATCACACGCTAGTACCAGTGACATAGTCGGAGCTCATTTGGCCGCGAAAACAACAACAAAACTCCAATACGCTACTCGTCTTCTCTCCACTAAGAAACAAACGAGATGCTATGCTGTTAATCTCTAACCATGGCGACGAATGTCCCTTCCAGGTCTCTGATTCTCCGGGCTATCCCTTTCTTGGCCTCTCGGATCCGCCAAAATTCTCTCTTTATTCGTCCTAGACCATCTTCATCATCTGCTATACCGGAACAACAGACGGGTTTCAAAACTCAGGAGAAAGCCGTTTTCATGACTGAGAATTGTGTACGGGTATGGTAACAGGGAACGTTTGAAAGATTGCGTATATGAAATCATTTCACCCCCCCCCCCCCCCCCCCCCCCCCACCCGAATTCGTGAATATCTGTGGCTGGTTTGTTCTTTACGGTATCTTCTGCTGTTGCTACTTCTCAGTTTTAGTGTTGCTTATTTATGCGTAAATTACAAGTTTACGTAGTTGGGATCATCCACTGTGTTGAGCTTATGGGCTATGTTGCAGGGTAACGGAAAACGTCATTTTTAGTAAAAAAAAATATTGGAGAGTTTCCAAAGAGTTTCGGTAGAGTTTCGGTGCTTATGGGGTTGATATATGAGAAACTGAATTGGACTGTTTTGTGAAAATCAGGGTAGAAAATGCCGTAGGCTTATTCCTACGATAATTGATAAATCGTTGTAAAAGATTTCATCATAATAGCTTAATTGTGCTTGGACGGAAAGCTGTATCCCGTAAAAGAGCCTATTGAGTTGGTTGAATTGGTAAAGACTACATTTTGCTCGAAATCCCATAGGTCCACGCTTAATTCCTCTCCCTTGTGGGAGATACACAAGTTAGAATCTAAGTTCTCTTCAAAACCACTCATGAACCAGTGGTATGCCACTATGCTGTTGACAGGATTTACCTCCTTTATGGCCTTACCCAAACCTTCATCTATCAAAAAGAAAAAATATAATAGAGCGGGTTAAGATGTTTGAGTTCATTGGACAAGAAGAAAATTAATTATTAGAGTGGAAACAACCTCTTTTAGCTCTTGACTTTAATCAATTCATATAGTTTGATTCGTAATTATATAATCCTGTATCACAAACTAAAGGACGTTTCTTTGGCACTTTCTATATTGTGCGTGTTGATTTTACAACATCAATATTGCACTGAGACGCTAATATAACAACTATCTCAAAACCCACACTCACCGTCTCATAATGTTATCTTTTCAAGTGGAGAGTCCTATGTTTATGACGGTTATGGAATCTTATCTGATTACAAATTCTTTGGACAGTAGTGACACGAAGGGCATCACGCCTCCCTGTCATTAAAACTATGCCACTTTGCTATTTTGCATGTATTATGTTAACTATCTTAACTCATTTTATACATTATCAACAATATACATTTTGTGCCATCAATATCAAGTATTAACGTAGCTGAGATGAAGTGCTGGTTTGTGATGTTGGTGACAAAATGATGTTTCACAATGCCTTAAAATAGAGTAGTGCATTTTGTTTTGTACATTTGGCATTTTCATGGTCATGTCCATTAAGGAAAAGAGGAAATAAGGTTAACCAATTTGAATTATGCTAGGCCATTTATCGAATGCATGATGACATTCTCTTCCAGCAGATATCATTCTATGTAACATTGTTTTTTTTCATTGTGCTCTCATCTAAAGGCAAATTGCTCTCTCATAAAGAATTGCATGGTTATAAAAAAAAATCTAAACTTCAAATCTTACATAATGATGATGACAATCAAGGTCAAACTTATCAACTTTATATGTGTGATCCCAGAGATTGAAGGAGCTGCAAGCCAGTGAACCCAAGGAAAAGATGCTTCGCTTAAGCATTGAAGCTGGTGGGTGCTCTGGGTTTCAGTATGAATTCTCTCTAGATGACAAGACCAATGCTGATGATAGGTATGATCTTTTCTCTGTATTGTTGAGGCTATACCTGTTTATTAATTGCCCACCAATAATTGTTAATTTCTCCTTAATCTTTGTCATCTTGTGGTTTTGCAAGCTACTTTGGGAAATTTCAATGTACTTTATATTTTAGCATTTCATCTAGACTATCGTGTATTCTTTCTTTCTTCCTAGCTTTCTTAAGTATTTTTTCCGTTTTCAACATTTGAATTTGCAGAATTTTTGAGAAGGATGGAGTTAAACTGGTGGTCGATAATATTTCATTGGATTTTGTTAAAGGTGCAACGGTTGATTATGTAGAGGAGCTCATCCGTTCCGCTTTTCAGGTATGTAACTTAAACTACTTATGTTTCTGATGCTTTGTTGACTGAGAGACGTGTAAATGAGTAAATACCAAATTTTCTAGTGAGCACTCATATGCTCAAAAGGTCATTTAGTGGGTCAGATGTGTTTATCTCAACCAATTTTTGAAGCACAAACATGAAATGAATGACTAAATGTAATTTTTTAAACTTAATTTATATGGTTGTAGTTTTGTTAGTGAAGTGTGAAATGTCAGCCATGTCGAAGTTTCACATAAGCACATCTGTATTACTATGCTTAGGATTGGAGGGGGTTCCGAGGAGAGCGAAAAGAAGCTTTTTTTCTTTCAGTTTAAGAGAACCAGTTACGTAAGGGCTTTGGTCATAAATAAATTACTAGGAAATTGAGTTATGCTAATTTTATCATTTCATATCCTTTATTTTGAAAAACTGTTCTGAAATGAAAGAACCCTTCTGTTGACTTCTTAAAAAAACTCCCAAATATACCCTTAGGGTCTGTTTGGACAGAAGGTATTGGATGGGAAGACTTGAGTTAGGAGGCCTTAATCTAAATCTTGGCAAATACAGACTTAGAGGCCTTATTCTAATTCTTGGTAAGTAGAATGTTTCTGAAAGATCAAATTCAGTAAGTGTAATGTTATATGATAACCTATCATATTATTCCTTTTATATAAAATCCCAAATATATATCAAGATATAGATATCACTTATTCTTGTGTGTGTGTGTGTCTTTCGGCTCACATTGGCATATGTTCTTTGTGACTCACGGTTACATTTAGGGAACTGGTTGTTTCAAATGTTGAATATTGCTATTATATGTACTCGGAGGACAACTCCTGATCTGTGTTTTTTTTACTCCTGATCTGTGTTTTTTTTACTCCTGATCTGTAAAACAGCAATTGATCTTCTAATGTGCAGGTATCTACTAATCCAAGTGCAGTGGGAGGATGTAGCTGTAAAAGCTCTTTTATGGTGAAATAGTAAATCGAATCTCTCAATACGTTGCTTGATGCCTAGTGTTATACCAATTCATTGGCGGTTCATTTGTTGTACACACTCATCATATACATCTGTCTTTACAGACTTGTATTGAGACCACACACTTTTATTGAAGGAGCCTCTCAAGAAACAATTTTGCATATTTAAAGTTGAAATTCCTTCTTTGTAACTCAAAGCAATAAGCTCTAGTAGTGGACTCATTTCTCCTTCTTCAGGTATAGCCTTGGTTTGGTTGGATGATTTTAGAGAGGAAGAGATGAAAACAAGGAGAGACAACTCTTAAATCCTAAACGCAAACATTCTGGTGTACTATGTATACAGACAAACAGACCCAATATTCAAATCTACTTACTGCGTCAGAATGTCAGATATTTAATTCCAATAATGCGAGAAAATGTGAAAATGCCGTGACTCGTGAGAAAATGCGAATTGCTCAAAGAAGCTCTAAAATGGCTAATTGATTGGTGGGTGGGTGGTTAGTGTTGGACTCGGGCCGGGGCCGGGTCGGATCTAGGCCCGGGTGGGCCGCCGGTTCAGAAAAGGTGGGACCGGGACCGGGCCGGGTAGCCACGGGTCCGGGCCCGGGCCGGGCCTCTTTTTAATTTTTTCCCTTTTCCTCATTAACCCCCACCCCCAAATCCCCAAACCATCCCAAATGGCCCAAAATACCTAGCCCAATCCAAAATGTAAAAAAAAATTGAAACTAAAAATTAAAAAGCCCGGAACCGGGCCGGTTCGGCTTTTGGGTGACCTGAGCCTGCACCGGGAACCCCCCGGGCCGGGCCTACCCGGACCGGTCGCTGGCCGGGCCACCAGGCCGGGCTAGTTCAGCACAGTACCGGGCCGGTTCCGGGTCGGGCCACCCGGCTCGAGTCCAACACTATGGGTGGGGATTTTTGTGGTCAGTTCTAAAGCATAATGTTTGATCTTAATAATCATTTTACTCCCTCCGTCCCTATTTAAAATTATCATTTTCCTTTTCGGGTCGTCCCTAAAAAGTCTATTTTCCTTATTTGGTAAATAAAATAGTGTCAAACAATGTCAAAACAGTGTCATTTCTTTAATATGAGTGCAAAAGGAAATGAGACTTTTAAATAGGGACGGAGGGAGTACGTGATCTTAAGCTTTTAATCGACCTATTGACGTGTTTTAACACGTTTGCTAATTGCTAAGGAATTGACAAATTATGAAAATAGTATCATGGGTTCATATTTGATGTTTAAGAAATTATTCTTAAAACTTTTTTATGTCTTTGAAATAGTACCATGAATAGTTCTGTTCTATGGCAACACTTTGGGAGGTCGACATACTTGTTGAGCTAGTGCCCTGTCAGTCTGTCACAAATATATGTCATGTAAAGCAAATGACTAATGATAATGACGAGTTGACGACCAAACAGAAAAACACATATTGGTTTGCATATATGCCGTATAATACTCCATATATTGGAAATATTTAAAAAAAAAAAGCACTTGAAAATCAATACTAGCTACACAAAAATGTATGCTCAAGGAATTTCGGCCTATTAATCTCCACGTGCAAACATATCACTAATCTATTAAGCATGCGCTTATTTCACATTATGTTTCTCAAATCGATCCTGTTATGTAGGATGTTTTTACTTGGACTATTTTCAGTTCAAGATCAGGCCAAATCAAACCTTGACAGTTATAAAATACACAAAACTCAATCATATACCAGACCAGTTCAGACCAGACCACACAATTCCAATCCAAGTAAAAACATCCCTAGTTGTGTCTCTGGGATAAATGTCACCAAGTGGTCTCAAGACTTTCAAATAGATTTTAATCAAACATCCCATCCTAAATTGCTTGAACGCAGTATTTCCTAAATGATTAACCAAAAACGAGTTTTTACAAATTATTCCCAATATTTTGTCTTAACACTAAACGTCTTTAGTACAAGAATCAAACAAAAGTGAGTAATTTTGGAAGAAAGGAGAAATTCATACTTTAAAATTGAAAAATGGTACTCCGTAGTTTTTCGGACAAGAATTAGAAGCTAGTGTCAAATAAATTGGACAAATGAGTTATCTTTCAAATTCAAGTCTCACTCCAATTTATGATAAAAAAAAAACATTTACCATGAAACATATACGGCATGGCTCCCACAAGAGCAGACAACTTTGCAAGCAAATTTAATAATTATGTACCAAATGAGTTAACTCAATAACACCAATGAATGAGGCAAAAGGACATTCTGAAAAATTCCCAAATGTTACACAAGTATACTCATTATAAATTCACAGAATAACAGTAAAGTATGAGGCGAGGCACAGAAAATTCTAAAAGAACTCCAAAATTACCCATTCCACTTAAAACACAATATGTACGTGCATCCTGGCTCTACTCCAAAAATTGAATACATGACCAAACTCATGGCCAAATTATTCCAGTTCGTAAAAAGAATGCGTACAAAATAAGCAGTTCAAGGCAAGTATATTGACTACTGCACATGAACTGTCAACTTTATGTCCTTTGACTGTCATTGAAGGCCAAATCGAAAATTTGGCTATAATCCTCAACAAAGTGCACTTCGAGGCCTTCCTTCACATTTGATGCAAGTTCGTCAAAGTCTCTTCGGTTAGCTTCAGGGAATATGATAGTCTTCACATCACTACGCCTTGCTGCAATTGTCTTCTCCTTCACCTATGATTCACCGAAACAAAGTCAGAATATGATGATCACATATATAATATGCTAGTCATCAGCAAAGTACAGGTATGAAGATGCCCATTTTGTGGCATCTTATTTATTCACATAACCCTTATGAGCCAGTCTTTTACAAAATTGGCTAAATTAATTGACATGAAAAAAAGTAGTGCAAAGCGTACTTTTTTCCCGAGTTCCTTAACTAAATGAAAAGAACTTCTAATCAATTGGCTTTGGAAAAGATTAAGGTTAGAAACACATTAAAAGTTCACACATCATAGGAAGCATCCCTGTGTGGGATGTCTCCTTAGAATACTTTCAATTGGGCTGGTTTTAGTCTCCAACCCGATTTAAACAGACCAGATCAAATCAAACCACAACAAACTTAGACAATAGAAAAATAAAAATATTATACCTTACTTGATCAGTCCACAATCATACTTAACAAACCAAACTACTAGATCAGACCGGAAAATATCAATACAAATCAAAACATCAATTTACACAAGGTAAGAAGTTGCGGAAAATGTACCTTTTAGCTCAAGTTTGTTATGTAAATGAAAATGAAACTTCTATTCTTGTTTTTTGTTGCTCCTTTCGTCGCATTCTATGTGCCTTAATTTCCTTTTTGGATTGCCCAAAATAAATGTCATATTTTCTTTTTGGCAAGAAATATGTGATTCGTTTCATTTCACATTATTGTACTCAAATCTCAACCACAACTTTTACTTTTCAATCATTTTATTAGTATTTTGTCAAACCAAAATAAGATGCATAAAATGGGACAGGGTAGGGTCCTGTATAAGAAATTGTCCAAATTAGGAGTCCAAATGAACAGTTTATAAAAAGGACTAATTATATTTTATTCCCAACAAAGAACTCATTTAGTTATAATAGAATAAACATTTTTTGTAGTTAATGAATGAGTCCTATTTTGATAATAAAACAATGGTGGTCATACTTCTTATTCAGGTAATTTTCTCACTTGAACATAGAAAGGAAAAACCTTAAAGATATTTTCCCACCTAAAGTTCAGCAAGCTCGGCCAATTAAGAAGGTGTTTGGATCTGCTTCTTAAAAATGTTTCTGCTCCTTTAGGGAGCAGAAGAAGATATTGGAGTGTTTGGGTGAACGTGTAGAAGTACTTCTGAGGGCTTCAAAATGCTCCTAGAAGTAGTTTTTATAGGAATCAAAGAAGGCAACAGTCAGCTCTTAAAGATGGCATCACTTTTTATGAGAAAGTGTATACTTGAAAAGGGAAGGGAAATAATAAATAAAGAGTCTATTTTAATTGGGAGTAGGGTGGAATGTTATAAATAGAGGACCTTATGTTTAATTAGACAGGTTGGAACTATCGGATTAGTTGGGATTGGGAGTCTTTACTTTGTAACGACCTGGGAACTATATTTTGTCTTTCTGTTAAACAATAAACTTTCTCTATTGACTTCTCCATTTTTGCCTTTTGTGAGCTCGGAATTACTGTAGAATTAGCTCGAACCTATCAGTTTTTTAGAAGCCGTGAGAGACAAGCTTCTGAAAACTGATTCCGATTCTACTTCGGGTTTTAAAAAAGTAGAAGCATAATCAATTCCAGACACCCCCTAAAACTAAGAGGGAGTAGATAACATACCCCGCCAATTGGAAGGATCTTCCCCATTAGAGTAACTTCCCCTGTCATGGCTAAATCCTTTTTGACAAGCCTATTCATGGCGAGAGACAACAAGGAAGTGATCATGGTGCAACCGGCGCTAGGACCGTCCTTTGGGGTAGCTCCTGCGGGAACATGAAGGTGAAGTTTGCTATTGGAGAAGAAGGTGTTTTCATGATCTATTTCACGCAATATGGATCGGGCAACTGTGTGCGCAATCTGTGCACTTTCTTTCATCACATCTCCTAGTTGTCCCGTCAGATTGAGCAGCCCTTTCCCTTCTGCTTTCTCAACCTGAGTAGTCTCTATATACAGTGTTGACCCACCCATTGCAGTCCACGCAAGGCCCATTACAACTCCAACTGGGGTCTGATCATAGATCCGATCAGCATGAAAGACCGGCTTGCCAACATAATCTGCTAGGTTTGATGACTCCACAACCACCTTCTGTGTTGTTACACCTTCTTTACTTTGGTTTAATTTTTCCGTTTCCTCAGCATTCTGCAAAACGTAAAAAAAACACCAAAGAATGAAAAGAACTCCTTCAATTTCGTAAAAACTAAATTGAAAACTCGCCCCAAAGAAAAGGGAAAATGTAAACTAATAATCCAACCTTTAGCGGTCTTCTTACAATAGTCCCACCTTTTCATTATTCATGATAAATTCAACCTTTGCACATCATCTTCATTCACTGGTCCCTGACCGATTTATGACCTATTACTTCAAGATATTTTCTTATCTATGTAAAACATTATACCATAATTTTCACCTTATGATCACATAATGTTTTGCAAAGATAAGAAAATAACTTGGAATAATAGGTCATAAATCGGTCAGGGACCAGTGAATGAAGATGGGGTGCAAAGGTTGGATTATTCATTAATAAAGAAAAGGTGGGACTATTGTAAGAAGACCGCTAAAAGGTTGGATTATTAATTTCCATTTTCCCCCAAAGAAAATCATGTTTGAACAACCACCTTCTGTGTTGTTATAGCTTCTTCACATCTATTTATTTTTTCCGTTTCCTTGGCATTCTGAAAATATAAAAAGCAACACCACATAAGAATCACTAGCATTCATTTAATGAAATGAAAATACTCATTAAAACTTAAAAAACTCCCTCCAATTCCTTGCAAAATATTATTTGAAAACTTATTCTGCCAAAAAAAATCACATCCGAAACAAATGAAGTTGTATTTCACTAAATTTAATGTTTTCTTTTCTAAATAGGTGTCCCAAACAAGTGAAATATATTAAATTAGTTAAACCAATAATAAATTCAAAAATTCGAGTTGACAAATTCCAATTGGTGTACATTACTAAAATTAAAAAAATGAAGGGTGGCAACACATAGTCTACTCGCCAAGACAAAGAATGGATACAAATTTACCTCTGATTCAAGTCCATCGGTGAGGTTGTCAGTTTGGTTGTCAGGTGCTTCAATTACTTCAGCTTCTATAGTATTTAAAGCATTTTTATCCCTGTCAACGTCCAACTCAGCTCCACCTTGGGTTTCTTCTTCATCAGAACTTTCATCTTTTAGACTAACATATTCTTCCTTTACTTCATTTTGCTTATCAGTCCCAGCTGTAGCAGCATTTTGACTCTCAATGAGTGCTGTTTGGCGAACAAGCTGAAGAGCTATCTGCAAGACAGGTTTAATGCATAATAGAAAGCCAGTGATAAATGCATAAAGGTTAAGTTCTTTCAAAATCCATGAAATGTCACAAAAAGGAAATTTACTCCCCACAAACTAAAATGTAATTTATACTTTATTTGTAAATTGTGATGTTACAGGAAGTTAAACCTTGCGATAAATCTTCTCAATTTGCTTCTGAAGATTACGGACACCCGCTTCTCTGCAGTAGTTTTCTATTAAAGCAAGAAGAGCTGCACCTGTCACCTCAACCTGGACCCAAAAAAATTATAAGATAATAGCATCAGTAGATATGCATCGAGTGTGGGCGATTTAACTAACAAGACATATTTGTAGTGTTGTACTCTCTCCATCCCTTTTTATTTAGCCAAACACTATTTTTCAAGTCAAAATTGTTCAACTTTGACCGATTATATATTTATACACGGAAATATTGATAATATGAAAATTATATGAAAATGTTCTTTGTTGAAAATACTATATTAACTTTTACATAAATATATTAGTTAAAATAATGGATCAAAGTTTATCATCTTTGACTGGAAAAGTCAAAGTTGGCTAAATAAAAAGGGACGGAGGTAGTATAAAAAAGGAACACCTCAAAAACATGACTATAAATACGGATTCTATCTGTTCCATAGTTTTAAAACACTGAAACAATATATAATTCCTTATAAAGTTATAATATCAAGGGGAACATAAAAAGAGCGGAATTTCCTGAGAAGGCTCTCTCATTCCTTGGATGTATGTTCCGGATATTTACAAAATGACTTCCTGAGCAGGCACGCACACATGCAGGTCAGTTTTGCTTCAATTTTGGATTGGTCAGTTGTCATACCAAAAATGGAAAAACCTTAACAGGAACCGGGCTATTCGGTTCTGGTTATGGGTTCAGTTCAGTCACCCACCTTCTCGGTCAGATTTTGGGCGGTTCAGAACCAGAAAGTTGAGCTTTACAAAAACTGAATCAGCAGTTCAGCACCGAATTTGGCTGATTCTAGCCAGAACCGGATCACTTCCAGACCGTTTCTGGTTCCGGCTGAGTTCTATTCAAGTTCTGGTTCAGAACTGGGGCAGTGTCTGACTTCTGTCCTAGCCTAAAGTATAGTAAAGAACAGCTATAAAAAACTTCATTATCCTAAATGTTAGAGTAGCAGCGCTTCATTTCGGTGCCATTAAACTGTATTTTATTATATTTATTAAACCCATCTTATTAAATGACATTGATTTAGAATGGTCTAAAAAAACATGGCCAAAACGATATTGGTTAGGTCTAAGTTTTTAATCAAACTAGCAATGATTCTTCATAGCTGATTTCACGACGTCCAAGTAATCCCCTCACCTAATAACTATTGCTACCTTTGTTCTTTATTAATTGCAACACTTTGAATTTTGAACAATTCACATACTCTAAGTTGACCAACTTTTATTATTTATTACTCCCTCCGCCCCCCTAACTTTGTCCCGTTTTACCTTTTTCGTCCGTCACATTAAGTTTGTCCCATACCATATTTGGTAATATACCATATTTGGTAATATTTCTGTGGCTACAATTCATTCTTACTTTATTCCCACTTTATCAATTCAATATCAACCACACAATTCTACTTTTTCTTAAAAACTACACCACACCTCTTTGTCCCAAACTTAGGGGGACGGAGGTAGTATATTAATGTTTCAACAATCGTATTAAGAAAGAACTTGTTAAGTTTGCCTTTGCCCCATTGTCAATTTTCAAATATGATTCTTTTTTCAATTTTTACTAATAACCAATTTATATACATATTTACAGATATGTATATATGTGTGTGCGCGAGTGTTACTAGTCAAGGGTCGGCAAACGTGTAAGTAAAAATCTTGCAACTAAAGAACAAATGAAGTAAGAATTTACCTATGAAGCACGGAAACTCTCGTGACAGAGTATGTTTCCATTTCGGAAACTCTCTAAACAGTTGTTTTTCAACTAAAAGATGATATTTCCCGTTACCCCCGTAAATCTCATGTTTCCGTGCAACATAGCTATTTACTAATACTGGAATCAGGGACACTGATTCACGCCTAAACACTAATATTATTCGCCATATCGGAAGCGGGGGCAATTGCCCCTCCCAATCCCCCTAGGTCTGCTACTTTGCCAGTGTAAGTGGAGCGTTGACTAATACGTGAATTTTTTTAATGTTTTCTAAGAGCAAGTATTAATTGTATCCTAGTTTTCCATATCTGTTGTTTCAAATGCATGAAGCGAATAGTCTGTCAGATGCTACCTCCACCAACCTAGGAAATGGCTTATGATTGAGTCTTAAATGTGGAGAAGAGAGGAAAGTACCTGTTCAGACTTAATGCCACACGCTTCACGGGTGGTTTTCTCTAAATAATCCCTAGCAATATGCATCTTCTCGTCAGTTATGTAACCAGCAATGGCAATCACCTCCATCCTGTCTAGAAGAGGATTTGGTATCTTCTCCACAACATTTGCTGTGCAGACAAACAAAACCTACAACGGTGAATAGGAATTATTTCAATCTCCAATTTCATGTCAGGATAAGACAAGTAAATGTACAGGACAGTAGGACACATGTGTGAATATGAGATCCAATGCACTTGTCCTTAAAGAACTTGGGTAAATATGAGTCAATAAGTAAATCCCAAGTAAAATGAGCTGGCCAAATGTAGAATTCATCCTTTCATTAAATTTATTTACACAAAAACAAAACAAGAAATTATTCAAAAAATGAAAAGTAAAAAACAGATGATGTTGATGAAATAGCCAGTACTCATTCTAAATTCTCCCAATAAAAAACAGGTGAGGAATTTAGGATCGCTTCGTCATTTAAATACAAACACAACACCTACATCTTATACATAACTTAGAAGTACATTAGCCAAAAAGAGAACAAGGATTCATTTGTTAGTTGAGAATAAAAGTACATCTGTAATCAATAGATCTATAACTGAATTTGAAGTACACATTTAAGATGGGTTTGGTGATTGCATATGAATTCAAAGCAACCACTCATTTTCAGACACTATCTAGTATCTTCATTCGGTTTTCAAAAAATCCAGCATTTGAATTTTTTTTAAAACCCGTGTTTTACAAAAATAGTTCATCTGCCTATCCATGATAGTATATTACACAAAATGTCAAAATCCTTTTCTGTTTCGTTCTATATATACTGATTTAGAACTAAACGGTTGACGTACCAAAACACATATTGCAAACTTGCAACTATTTTCCAGATAGGTCTGACATACAAAGCTCATAAGTCATTAAAAAGGGGCATCCCAGTAAGTGGTGTCCGCACAAGGTGAAGGTTCAGTGAAGGGTCCCACCACAAGGCCACAAGGGTGTCAAGGCCGTAACCTGTGACCTCTAGGTCACACACCAACAGCGTAACCGGTGTGTCAAGGCTTCCTTTCAAAGCTTACAAGTCATGATTTACAAAATAGAATATAATGCAATCCTAATAAAAAAAGTGAGCTTGAATATCACAAACCTTTGATAAATCAATTGGGACATCAAGATAGTGATCCAGAAAATTAGCGTTCTGCTCAGGATCCAAAAGCTCCAACATTGCACTTGCTGGATCACCTGCATGTCCTATACCCAACTGCCACATAATCAAATTAAAAAACAGACCAATCAATAATAATGAATTTACACCCCGATTAGCAAGCAAGCAAAAAAAAAGCTTTTAAGAGAACTTCTATCATAGAGAGTACACTGCAGCAGAAGTAGTTACCAAGAAAAAAACACAGGATGAGCCCAAAAACTGTATTCTGGGGTGAGATTATTTCATCGAATAAAAAACCAAGGGCACAAGAATCCACAATCAGAGAATAAAAAACATTTCTAGTAATATTCATTAAGCAACCAAAAAATACCTTATCAATCTCATCTATCAGAACTAAAGGGTTAGCTGTTCCGACATTTTTCAAACACTGTACCATCTTCCCTGGCATTGCCCCAATATAAGTACGTCGATGTCCCTTGATGTGAATCTCAGTGTCAGTAGTGGAAGTTAACAAAGGAAAAGAAGGAAGACGATTTGAGGGTGACTTCCCATTTTTTATGAGTACCTTAATTTCAGCAACATCAGACAGGCCTCCAACTGAAAACCGGTAGAATTTACGGTTCAAAGCACGTGCAATTGAACGTCCAATACTGGTTTTCCCCACTCCGGGAGGGCCGGAGAGGCAAATAATTTTTCCTTTTAAAAAACAAAGAGAACAAAATTATGAGCTTTTCAATTGTTACCCATAGGTTCAACAAACTCAGGAAACACCCAACATCAGGGAGCATCAGGCAGAGTGGAATACAAAATTCGGTTAGAGTAAAACACAAAAGAACATAAATAGAAACAGAGCTCTGCGGGCTTAGAAGGATGAAGATTGAAAAGGGATATTACTCTTTTCCTTTCTATTACAACTTTTAGGTGTAAAAGTTTTTGGATCATACTAACATCAAACTTGATAGAGTAAGAGATATACCATACTAACGTCACATAGTAAAACTGTAAAACATGGCTTGTTCCACCATTGAAGTTTCAAAAAATGGTCATTCCATTGTTATCCATCATAAACATGGAGAAATCTGATATCCCAGTTTGTCAACCTTGTGAGGTTACTCTTAAGATTAATATTAAATTAACATGCAAATCGTAGAGCTTGACAATTCTAAGATCAAAGTTTCTGTAAAAATCCATTGCTATCATAATGAAGAAATCAGATAAAGCAAGTAGCCAACCTTGTGAGGTTCCTCTAAGATTTCCCACAGCGATAAATTCCAATATCCTTTCCTTAACATCATTTAGTCCATAATGGTCTTCATCAAGTATCTCATGTGCACGCAACACATCAAAGTTTTCGTTGCTGCATTCAGATTAGACAAAATAAATATTCAAATATGATGCGGCATGACATTAGTAGATTTTTAAGAAATACAGATGTTCTTAGCCAATTTGAGAAATCAAGTACTTCTTTACTCAAGAGATGCGCTTTATTTATATATACTAGAGGAACTTCTATTGACATGGACACACAACTTCCTAAAGATGGAAATTCTACAAAAAGTTCCACTATACTTGTTTGGAACAATCAGTAATAACATTGCTAACAAGACAAGGTAGACTATCACTTCATTTGAGAGAAGATTCAGTAATCAGCAGGGTTTGATATGTCTATCGCATGCACGAGCTAGAGAGCAAATGACAAGCATATTCATAAACAGCAATACAGTTGACCATATATGTAGCACTTTGCGCGTGATTAATTTTCATGTTGGGCTCAAGCCACATATATCCTTGGGTGTCCCTCCCTCCTTCGTTTCTTTCATATCAGTATACTTGTATTCACTTATATACATATATGCCATCAATTAACTCGGGGAAAGTAAGAGTTTCTATGCTATATATTTGAACAAAGGAAAAGGTCTTTTAAAAGTGAACATGGAAGGAGGGAGACATTGTTAACCTCTCTTAAGTCTTAAACAAAGATGTGGTTTTAATCTTTTATAATTATCAAGGAATACTGTCAAATTGTCCTGCTATTGTTTGGAAATATAAGTTGATCCTGTGTACCAAAAAACCCAACTAAACACACGAATGGCAAAAAAAAACATCTAAAGTGTCATTTTAGGCGGTAACCTTCCAGTTCCTATGCAACTTTGGCAACATGGCTGAACACATATTTTCTCTTTCTTTTTATTTTTTTCTTTTCTTTTTCCTTCTCTCTTTTCATTTCCCGTTCTTGTTTTCTCCTCTGGGCATACTTTCTTCGTCATTCTGTTGAGTGCATACAGTTTGAGTTCGAAGCACTTTTCCCCTCTTAATACAGCCATATCTAGCCACAGATTTGTTGGATGAAGCTCCTCACTTGTCTTCAGAAAGAGAAAATCATTCTAAAGAACATATTATTGGATATAATTTTTTTTGGTTGGGGTTTAGATTTGTACAATGATGATTATCTTCATTCCAACTTGGATCAAGAATTGGCCCACCACCCACATCAGCGAAGAGTGAAACTGTGTTGGGGCTATCAGCAGAGGTGCGATGGAGGGCGACTGAGTGACCGGGTAAGGCATTAGGAAGGCCAAAATCAAGGGCTGGGCAGAGGAGGATTTTTTTTGTCTCCAGTGTTACTGGTATGTAGCAGACTTGCGGGAAGAGAAAAAGGAAAAAGAATAAGGAAATGAAACAAGAGATTACGAGTTATGACTCCGTGAGATCGATAGTGGCTAGTAATAAAAAGTTTTGGATGTCTTTTGTCATTTGAATGGTTAATTGGGTAATATTTTGGAACAGGGGGAAATTATACTTTCATCCGTAGTAGTAAGGGCTACTTGACAGTTTTCCTTGAGTCTTATAATGTATTGTGTTAGTAGTATACACCCCAAAGCTACTGACCATGCAATTTGAGTATTTGACACATGAAAATTGAATCACAAATCATTGATGTAAATGGAAAACCTGTATGTTCCCCAGGGCAATGCAGTCAACCAATCTAAGTAGTTACGCGTCACACTAAATTCACTGGAACTTGCTTCTAGCAATTGCATCTTGGTCAATTCTTCTTCAATAACTTGCATAACATGTTTTGGGATTTTCTCCTTATTAGGCTCTAGTCTTTGTCTAAATTTCTCTGCAGTCAAAGGTAATGGTAAGCGAACCATATATGTATCAGTGAGCAGCTGAAATCAAGCATGCCTGATTTACACACTGCAGATGATAAAATTATTTCTAGATATATTTGTTTATGTAAAAATGTACAGTCGAGTTAGTTGTAGATAAATTAGAATACTTAGCCTTATCTGATGTAATTTACTCACACGTATTAGATAAGTATGGTTAGGTAGTCAGATCCTATTTTTTAGGATCTCATCAGTTAGACTGTTAGACTTGTATCCTATATATATTGTAACCGAGTGATGGAATAAATCAATCAATTCTATTCTCCCAAACTTACATGGTATCAGAGCAGGCTGTTTAAACACCACAATGGTGGAAACCGAACACTCTGATTCTTCCCCCCACTCACAAACCCATCACCCTAACTCCCAAATTAGCCAAATGACAAACTACCAGGCCTCGGTTAATTCATCTATGCTCATTACTGGACATAGATTGAATGGAACCAATTATCTAGAATGGTCACAGTCTGTCAAGCTGGCAATAGATGGAAGAGGAAAGTTGGGATACATAACGGGTGAAATAAAGGAGAAGAAGAGTGGTGATGATGGCTACAGCGTCTGGAGGTCAGAAAACTATTTGGTAACAGCCTGGCTTTTCAGTTCAATGGATGCATCAATCGCCAAACCTCACATGTTCATGAAAACTGCAAAAGAGGTATGAGATTCCATTAAAGAAACCTATTCAGATCTTGAGAACTCTTCTCAGATTTATGAATTAAAAACAAAGTTGTGGCAGTCCAAACAAGGAAATAGTGATGTCATCTCATACTATAATGAGATGGTATCTCTATGGCAAGAGTTGGACCAATGCTATGATGCTGAAGACCGGAAAAGTGCCAAGGATCTGGCAAGACACAAGAAGAGGGAGGAAAATGACAGACTATATGTTCCTAGCAGGAATTAATAGAGATATGGATGAAGTTAAGGGAAGAATACTTGGAAAAAAACCTCTACCTTCAATCAGGGAGGTATTTTCTGAAATCAGGGTGGAAGATAGTAGAAAAAGGGTCATGAATAACACTCCAGTCCATCATGATGAACCTGGAGAGTCCTCAGCAATGATTGCCAAAGGAAATGAGAAGAAGAAGCCTTGGTGTGATCATTGCAAGAAGTTGTGGCATACTAGGGAAACTTGTTGGAAGATTCATGGCAAACCACCTGGAGCAGGACAAAAAAAGGTTGAAAGGGCCCTACATACTGCCACACCTGAAACTGATCAAGAGCAACAAGCAAATTTCAAGCAGCCAATTTTCACCAAGGATCAGATAGAGCAAATCCTACAATTTCTCAATACCCAAAAGAACCCTGAATCAGAAAACCCTTGTTCTTTTGCTCAGAATGGTAAAATTGCATCATTTTTCTGTTCTGGAAAACCAAATACCACCTGGGTCATTGACTCAGATGCAACATACCACATGATCTCCATTTCCAATCTATATTCTTCTTATAAACCCTGTGCAGGGGATAAGAAAATTAAAGTTGCAGATGGCTCTCTTTCAGCCATTGCAGGAACTGGAAATGTTAAAGTTTCCACTTCTATTGATCTTTCTAAAGTCTTACATGTCCCAAACCTATCCTGTAATCTTGTTTCTGTTAGCAAATTAACCAAAGATCTCCAATGTTGTGTTAAATTTTATCCTTCATATTGCATTTTTCAGGATCTGGCATCGGGGAAGATGATTGGCAGTGCTAGGGAAGAAGATGGACTCTATATTTTTTATAAAGGGACTGAATCAAATAAACAAGGTCAAAGAAATACTTGTCTGCAAACTATTACTTTTCCCAGTAAGTTGTATTTAATTCATTATAGACTAGGTCATCCTAGTTTCCATTATTTAAAAAAGTTGTTTCCTCAATTATTTCATAATAAAAATGTTTCACAGTTTTATTGTGATATGTGTGCACTTGCAAAGCATCATAAAAATTCATATCTTCCCCACAGTTACAAACCTACCAGTCCTTTTACTCTTGTGCATAGTGATATTTGGGGAGCATCTAGAGTCCCTACCTTAAAAGGAAAGAGATGGTTTGTAACAATTATTGATGATCATACAAGAATGACATGGGTATTCTTAATCAAGGAAAAATCAGAAATAGAATATGTATTTAAGCAGTTTTATGCAATGGTCCAAACTCAATTCAATACCAATATCAAAATGGTAAGAAGTGATAATGACCGTGAATACTTTTCTACAAATCTGAATCAATTTTTTGCTGAAAAGGGAATAATTCATCAAAGTTCTTGCATTAATACTCCTGCTCAAAATGGAATTGATGAGAGGAAAAATAGACATTTACTTGAAGTTACACGTGCAATCATGTTTTCAATGAAAGTTCCAAAAGATTTATGGGGAGATGCTGTTTTACATGCTACCTATTTAATAAATAGGATGCCATCAAAAGTTTTAGGGTTTAAAACTCCAATTAGTATTCTTCAAGAATGTTACCCTACTACTAGATTGATTAGCACTCTTCCTTTAAAAATCTTTGGTTGCACTGTGTTTATTAAAAATCCAGACAAAACTGCAAGTAAATTTGATCCTAGAGGAACTAAGTGTGTCTTTCTAGGTATTTCATCCACACAGAAAGGGTATAAATGCTTTGATCCTTCAACAAAAAAGATGTTTATTTCAATGGACACTGTTTTTGTTGAAAATCAAGTATTTTTTGATACTCATCTTCAAGGGGAGAGTTCAAATGAAGATGCTAACAGTGTGTCACATATTCATGACAATCTTGATTTTCTTGACATTAATCTAGATATGCATTCTATTGGAAACTTAGATGCATTAGAAAATGGTCAAACATCAGAAAATAATGAAATAAATACAACTGATAAAATGGGAAAAGAAGAGCTGCAGATCAGTAAGTTCTTTGGCAAGGTTTATGAGAGAAAGGTTCCAAATCAAAGAGAAGAGGAAGTCTCTGAACCTACATCTGTTGATGTAGAAATAACTTGAGAAAGTAAAATGTATTTTATTTCTCTTATTCTGTGTAATACAATGAGATGAATACAGAATATATATAGCTAGAGAAAAGTGGAATAAGGAAGGAATCCTCCTAATTAAGATTCCCTAATAAAGACAAGATAATTGAGGATACTTAGAGATTCTGAGATCTCTAAGATATCTCCTCATAAATGCTAAATCGGATGAGTAATTATCTGTAATAATCTACACTCCCCCTCAAGCTGGGTGATGGATATCATCCATGCACAGCTTGCTAGATAAGTCTTCAAACTGAATTCTGGGAAGTGCCTTGGTGAGTATATCCGCTATTTGCTGTCTGGTTGGAACATAGTTCAGCTGGATATCCTTTGCTGCAATCTTCTCTGATAAGAACCTTCTGTCTATATCAATGTGTTTGGTCATGTCATGATAAAAAGGATTCTTAGCAATACTGATAGTAGACTGGTTGTCACATGAGATCTGGATGGAGCTTTCAAATGGGAGTTTGAGCTCATTCATCAATCTTCTTAACCACAATCCTTCACAGATTCCTTGTGTTAAAGCTCTGAGCTCAGATTCCGCACTACTTCTAGAAACCACTGATTGTTTCTTGCTCCTCCAGGTGACTAAATTACCCCATACATAGGTACAGTAACCAGTAGTTGACCTTCTGTCTAAGAGGCTTCCAGCCCCGTCAGCATCTGTAAACACTTCAATCTTCCTTGTCCCTTGTTTCTGAAACAACAATCCTTTTCCAGGAGTCATTTTTAGGTACTTCAGAATTCTATACACTGCAGTTAGGTGTTCCTCGGTTGGGTCATTCATGAATTGACTTACCACACTTACTTAGAAAGCAATGTCTGGCCGTGTGTGAGATAGGTAGATTAGCTTCCCTACCAGCCTTTGATATCTACCCTTATCAACTTGTGGACTTTCAGTCTCACTGCCTAACTTTTTTGACATATCCATAGGAGTGTCCATAGGCTTGCACCCAAGCATTCCAGTTTCACTTAGCAAGTCTAGAACATATTTCCTTTGTGAAATGAAAATGCCCTTCTTAGATCTTGCCACTTCCATTCCCAGGAAGTACTTCAACTCGCCTAGCTCCTTGATCTCAAATTCTTTTGCTAGATGAGCCTTCAATCTGTCCAATTCAGCCTTATAATCCCCAGTCATAATAATATCATCAACATATACTATAAGAATAGCCAATTTTCCAGAGTCTGCTCTCTTTACAAACAGTGTATGGTCTGCCTGACATTGCATGAACCCTTGTTTAATAACTGATCTTGTGAACCTATCAAACCATGCTCTAGGAGACTGCTTTAGTCCATACAAGGACTTTTTCAGTCTGCAAACCTGACCAGAATTCCCCAAGTCTTCTAATCCAGGTGGTACATCCATGAATACTTCCTCTTCTAGGTCTCCATTAAGAAAGGCATTCTTAACATCTAGTTGATGTAATGGCCAGTCTAGGTTCACTGCGAGTGATAACAGCACTCTAATGGTATTCAACTTTGCCACTGGTGCAAATGTCTCTGAATAATCAATGCCATAAGCTTGGGTGAACCCCTTAGCAACCAGCCTTGCCTTCAGCCTTTCAATCTTTCCATCAGCCTGATATTTAACTGTAAATACCCACTTGCAGCCAACAGTTCTCTTCCCTGCTGGCAAATCTGTAAGCACCCAAGTTCCATTCTTCTTCAATGCTGCTAATTCATCATGGACAGCCTTCCTCCACCCTGGATGTTCAAGGGCTTCCTTGATGTTGTTAGGAACCTGAATACTATCAATCTTTGAAATAAAAGTTTGATAGTTTGCTGATAGTTTCTTATAACAAGCAAAATTATAGATAGGATGCTTTGTACACTCCCTTACTCCCTTTCTGATAGCAATAGGCAAGTCTGATTCCTCATCATCTCCTTCTATAACCTCAACCTCTTTGTCATCAGGACTCAAATTTGAGTCAGATGATTGGGTGGTGTTAATTGGAGTGATGTGCT